TTTGGCTTGGATGCATTCATACTCAAAACACAGTTCTTTGTATATAAATGTCAAAGGAGCTTGGATAATTTACAACCTTTGAGGGTAAATTATCCGCTGTTTTAATTCCAGTAATGCAGACCTTTTGAGGATATGACATTAGAGTTGTTCCCGCTACCTGCTGTAGACAGGCTGTAAAGGACATTATCTCATTTCAAAACAGTGGAGGATGAGGAACACAGATGGACTGAGGTGAAGAATCAGGCCCATTCACTCCCTCACCTAATAGCGCTACATAAATTGCATAACAGTGAAACGGAGACATTTTGTACCCAGTGTCCTCTCATTACAGCAAACAGTCATTTACAATTGTGGATTCAAAAAGAAGTCAAAACTTTAAAAGACATCATAACTCTGAAGTGGTGATTAGAAAACAAGAAAACTGCTGCTAGCTTTCACTCGTCTCCTGTGCTCATTCCCCTGGCACTGCATAAATTACAGAGTATTACTACACAATGTGAACAAAGACATGATTACATGATCCAAGCCTTAACAATTTGCCATTATACTCCCTGTCAAAGGCAGTACACTGGTCCAGATGTATTGCTTTAAGTGTGAGGTGTCTCTTATTACACCCATAACAATCTCAGACAGCCCGTGTCTCTAATGTCATGCCGGGCTGTGGCAAGGCTCTCTCATTGTTCTCTGCAGGATGTTTATAGCTTTGTGCCTGATATATGATAACCAATAAGTAAGAGGTAGTAATTACAAGGCCCACACTCCACCAGATCGCTTGATGAATGTGTGAAATAAAATACGGGGGGTTCTTTGTGGAGGCTAGTTATTACAAAGACATACAGAACCTTGACAAACGGCAGTATTATGAGCGGGGAAGCGCGAGCAGGGGGAGAAATATATAGCATATATCAATTTCCTCTACCAAATGGCAAAGTAAATAGCATTGACCTTCCTAAAACAAATCAGCGGCAAGCCAGCAAATCTAAATACTCAGTTGCACATAGTCCAACTTCTTTTCCGTTCTATGTTCGGTTCAAGAAGAAATAACACGATTAGGTGAAATAAAAATACACAAAGAAAGCACAATGGTATCCTATTGTAGGGTCCAGGACACAAACAGTGGTGCGGTCAGACCTCGTGTCTCCTAAACTGATCAGCAGCTCAGTGCCATTTATTCTTTATGTGGTCCCAGGAACGCAAAGGAAAATGAAAAGCCACCCAAACTCAATGTGCTCAATTGTTCGTTTATAACATTTGACATTTTGGAAACTACGGTAATTAACTTTTTATTGCAAAGAGTTAGATAAGAACTTAGATATGTCTTTCATGTTGATACAAATATAAAGCTAGAAGCAGCAGCTGGTTAGCTTGGCTTTGGGGAAAACAGCTAGCTTAGCTCTGACTACCAGCACCCAGAAACACCACTGATTTACATGTTACATCTATTTTGTTTAATTTGTACAAAAACCTTTGAAACCAACAAAAAAAGGAGCCAGCTGGAGCAGGACAACATGTTCCCCCTGTTGTTTCCAGCTGTTTTTTCTTATATGAACCCAATCAGGTCTTGACATTGACCTGAGTTTCACTTTCGCACAACAGGAGATGTTCCGTGTCATGTGCGTTATCACTTACTGGAAATACTACAGTGAGGATTGCAGTGCATGTGTGAAAGGGACTACTTGTATGCAGCTTTAAATTTGCAGAAATAAAAGTAGGCTTCTCCTCAAACTCTTTACAGAAGAGAAAATAATATTTGTTTCCTAAATCTGTGACAATTCTTTTAAGTTACTAAAATGTTGAGATAATAAACCATTTGCATCAATACATTTGCTTCTTAGTTCAACCCTCACTCACACATATTTAGGGTTAGTTTACTTTAATCCCAACTAGTTTGAGGGTCAAACCTTGATCCACTGGTGCTCCCACCTTAAGAGGCTCTGTGACTTAGATACTAATGCGTCCTGATATGTTGTGCTTACCTTGGAGAGAGATATCAGTCCGATTATAATCTGAGGCCTTCTAAGGGCACAATCAGGCTTCACTAAACCTTCTCCAATGACCCCCTGGTCTTTGAAGTGTGAACCTAACGAATGTTAAAGTGGAGAAGTTAGTAATGGAACTTCAGTCAAAGCATTTCTATTTGATTCACCCAAAGCCTTGGCACTGACGTACAATAAGATATCATCTCATAGTCTGGAATGTATTTCCTCTCACGCTCGATCAGGCTTAATTTACAGTTGGAGGCTTTTTTTTCTACCTGACGCTAGATCTGATGAAACTGCACACAGTGCCTTCCTCTAGTTCAATTTGTCATCTAGAAGAGATTTTCCTTCATAAATCAGAGGCAAATTTATAGGATTATTTTACAAAGTTTAGTATTTAGGCTGCTGTATTTTCACACCTCATTGGACAATATCTAAATATTGTTGGATACAGTTGTCTGAAATAAATAGTTCAGCTTGGGGGGAAATGCTGAAATGCTGGCCTGCTTAGAGTTAGATAAGATACAACGCTCATATTTGTTCAGTAAATACAAATATAGAGTCTGCAGTTGGTTAGATTAGTTGAACCAAAAGACTGGAAACAGGGAGACAAAGGTACGACTTTTAAGGCTCACAAATTAACAATTGATATCTTGTTTTTTATCACTGCAAAACCCAAAAAGTAAAACAAATTGTTTTGGTTTTACAGTAAAAAAAATACTCTCACAATTGATGCTTGTGCAATGTGATTTTTTTTTTTTAAATAAATAAACAACATATAACTTGTTAATCAGTGAACTTTGAAGGTGCTGGATTTTGTCACCAGTGGATAGCGACAGGCTAGCTGTATCCCTTGTCTTCCAGTCTTGTTTATTGGCTTAAGCCTTATATTTAGCATGGAGAGTGGTATCAAGCTTCTCATCTCTCAACAAAATACTGTTATTTCCCAAAATGTTCAACTATTCCTTCAAAAACGTTTTTCTTTTTGATTGTGTTTTGTCGTATGTGCAACAGTCAAAAGCGTTGTGCTTATTTCTCAGCTTATTCAACATGAAACAAATCCATTTTAGACCATACATGTGCAAAACTGCCTCCAGCAGAGTTTTAGCACAGGGGCTAATAGAGACAGTATGCAGTTGACAGCCAATTCAGTCCTGCAGGGCGAGAGGCCAAAATCCTTGAGTTCCAGTTCCAGCCCTGTTTGAGAAAAGATCAAATGCTCATTGGAACAGCTGTGGATCTGCAGGCTCTCCCCACTCAGCCACTAGATGGAAACAATAGTCCTTTCGCAGCACAATCACTGCTGCATCCATTTGGCATGTTATGCCTGATTCTGTGCACTGTTTTGCCATTCCAATTCAAATCATCATAATTATGGATTAATTGTACACGTGTCTTTGTTTTTGCTTTTTTACAGAGACCATTGCTAACAAGTCGACTCCTAAAGCACCTGCCGTCTGCCAACATGTCCTTAAGCAAGGCAGTGAAACTCTCCACCAGCTGCACGAGAGCTTTGTTTTACAGAAGAGATCCGACCTGCGGGGCTCAATAAAGTTTCACATTATACTGAATGAAAACATTAGCAGAAAATGGTGACAGAGTAATTATGAGTCAGCAACAGTAAAACGCCGCTGGGACTATCGCTTTACAAGAGGAGTGGGCTTTTATTTTCTATAACTATATTGGAGGAACAACTATACTAGTTTTTCAGCAATAAAGGCAGAGTCTTAGGGATCCAGAGGAGGAAGTTATGCACTCACAATTTGTATTTTCCTCCATCACTCTTAAAGCTTATTACTCATTGTTCCAGATTCATTTGGTGGTTGTTAATTTTCACATTATGTTGATAACCGACTGTACTGTTTTCTCAGGATTTTGTCATACACATTTGAGCTACATTTTGAGAAACTCAAAGTGGTGTATTTTGCAGATTAAGATTTCATCCAACAATTACAGTTACTAGTTACTTAGCAAATTACCACTTTAACACTTACAAAAGTAGTCTTAAGTATACACATATGCATCAGTTTTAATATTGCACTGACGATATGTAAAACATATTCTAATTATGCTGCATATAACTATTTTTCTAAGTATTTTGTCTATTATACTTTCATATTTTTACTCAAGTTGGTTAAAATCTTATTTCCACGCATACAAATGTCAACTTACAATAATATGATAAGGGATCCTAGGTATAACCAACACAAACACTTTTTCTGATTATACATCTGGATTTTGTAGTAGAAATGGCATATTTAAATTACTTGAGAAGTAGCAATACAACAGCCTGAAAGTAAAGCATTCAAAAGGTTACCTTAGCAAAATGTACAGAAAATATTCATCATGCAAAGACATGGAACAAGTGGTAGACTATTGTATATCATTGAATTATTAAACTGATGCATCAGTGTCTAAGTGTCATTGCTGTTGTTGGCTGTTTTAGGTGGTGAGGTAAAGCACATTTGAGCTGCTTTATACTGTTTTGTAAAATTCAATCTAATAGAGTAACCAGTCGAGCCTGTATGTAAAAAATAACACAATAGCAGGCAATTATATAAAATGTGATTCATTAATTAAAAATATTTGTTCCTAGGTAGCCTACTACTCACATTCTTGTGTCCCATATGCCTAAGAGTTGCCATATTTCCTCTTAACTGCAGCAGAGTTTAAATGTAGCCCAAGTTTGAAATGGAAATACTAAAGTAAAGTGCAAAAGCCTCACCCTACTTGGGTGAGTGTCTATTACATTCCACCACTGAAATATAGTTGGCCTATTTTAGGTGCTGGTTATAAGTACCATACTAGGTCTAAAATACTTAAAGTTGTTAATGCAATCCTAATGTAAACATTGTAGTTTTGACATTTCTCTCAAATAAAAGGTCTGAACACATTTGAAAGCAGAAATGTCAGAGGTATTTGACCATCCTCCAGCATCTGTCTGATAATTTTCCTTGTGTGGTGCTGCCGGTTGAAATGTGAGCGTCACGGAGCGCCCACCCCCCTCCTCTCTCCGTCTCTCCCCGACTGAAGTCCCACTGAGCGGCTCTCTAACTTCAGTGTCGAGCCTGAAAGCGGAGAACGAAGAGCAGAGAGCGAAAGACAAACATAGACAGAGTCGCAGCTCAACAGCCTATTTGGACTCGTAAGAAACAGAAAAACCGCCTCTTTGAATTCTGCTTTTTATCCACGATTACTACCGGTCGCTTTGAGGATTTACACTGAGCTCTCGGTGTTTAATTTAGATGATTTTCCTCCATTGTTTGTCGAAGTTTGCGACTGTCACGACTTAGTTACGGACCTTTATCTCGACTGTCTGTGGGATTAATCGTTTTAATTCAACACTTCATAATTGGACTCTTAACTACTTTCTTTCTAAGGCGGTTTTTCTTTTGTGGAGTGTTTTTTTCTAACGGAGCAGTAACGGTAGGCTACATTAGGACCTGCCTTTGCCATGGAGAAATAGCGGTGTAACCCACCCCGTGTTTTTTTACTTTTTAATGACTATTTTTAAAAGACATTGCTCAGTTTTTGACTACCACAATGAGCATGGATGGTTATCGGCTGAAGGTTGTGATTTTGTTGTGGTGTTTGCTGGTGATATCTGGCTCCAGCTTTGAGATAGGCTCCTACGACCTGGAGCGAGACAGACCGGCCAAGTGCGAGGCAATCACGATCCCCATGTGTGTCGGCATCGGCTATAACCTCACGCGGATGCCCAATTTCATGGACCACGACGACCAGAAGGAGGCTGCTATCAAGCTGAACGAGTTTGCCCCTCTGGTGACTTATGGCTGTGATGTGCACCTCCGCTTCTTCCTCTGCTCCCTCTACGCCCCCATGTGCACGGACAAAGTGTCGACCTCCATCCCAGCCTGCAGACCCATGTGTGAGCAGGCCAGGGAGAGGTGTGTCCCTATCATGAAGAAGTTCAGCTACACCTGGCCAGAATCGCTCAACTGCTCCAAGCTGCCCACCAGAAACGACCCCAACGCCTTGTGCATGGAGGCGCCCGAGAATGAAACCAGGACCGAGGTCAAGAAGGGCGAAGGCATGCTTCCGGTGCCCCATCGCCCCAGGCCACTGGGCCCCAGCAGTGGTCGCCCCCCAGGCTGCGAGAACCCGGAAAAATTCCAGTTTGTGGAGAAGAGCCAGTCGTGTGCACCGCGCTGCTCCCCTGCTGTAGATGTCTTCTGGTCCAGGCAGGACAAAGACTTTGCCTTCATTTGGATGACAGTGTGGTCCACCCTCTGCTTCGTCTCCACCGCCTTCACCGTACTCACTTTCCTCCTGGAGCCCCATCGCTTCCAGTATCCGGAGCGCCCCATCATCTTCCTCTCAATGTGTTACAACGTCTACTCTATGGCATTCATCATCCGCTCAGTAGCCGGGGCTGAGAACATCGCCTGCGACCGGGAGAACGGAGAACCGTACATCATCCAGGAAGGGCTGGAGTCCACAGGCTGCACCATCGTCTTCCTCATCCTCTACTACTTTGGCATGGCCTCTTCTATCTGGTGGGTCATCCTCACCCTCACCTGGTTCCTGGCTGCAGGGAAGAAGTGGGGCCACGAGGCCATCGAAGCTCACAGCAACTACTTCCACATGGCTGCGTGGGGCATTCCAGCTTTGAAGACCATCATCATCCTCACAATGAGGAAGGTGGCTGGAGATGAGCTGACGGGCCTGTGCTACGTGGGGAGCATGGACCCCGGGGCGCTCACAGGCTTCGTCCTCATCCCTCTGTCCTGCTACCTGATCATCGGCACCTCCTTCATCCTCACTGGCTTTGTGGCTCTCTTCCACATCCGGAAAGTGATGAAGACGGAGGGCACCAACACAGAGAAGCTGGAAAAGCTCATGGTGAAAATCGGCATCTACTCCATCCTGTACACGGTGCCGGCCACCTGCGTCATAGTCTGCTACTTCTACGAGAGGCTAAACATGGACTACTGGAAGCTGAGGGGGCTGCAGATGAAGTGTGGCTCGTTTAACGGTCTCAGCGGGGACTGCTCGCTCCATACGTCTGTGCCCACAGTGGCCGTGTTCATGTTGAAGATCTTCATGTCACTGGTGGTGGGCATCACCAGTGGCGTATGGGTGTGGAGCTCTAAGACCCTGCAGACCTGGCAGGGGCTATGCAGCCGGAAGCTCACAGACAGGACTAGAAGCAGAAAACCCTGCAGCGGGGTCAGCTGTGGCAGCACACACTGCCACTACAAATCTCCTGCTGTGGTTCTGCACATGGCCAAGACTGACCTGCACTCAGACAACCCTACACATGTCTGACAGGGAGCATGACAGAGACACACACACACACACACACTGCTAAATGCAACCACATACACTCAAAAACACATATGCACACACCAATGCCCTGAGTGAGGAGCTGCTAAAGACTTTGTGAGAAGATGAATTTAAATGTCAGTTGCTGCTCTGCTACTGCTGCCGAGGGACACACAGGTACTAGCGTCACTATGAAAAACTATCTATAAACAGTATTCAATGCATAAAGGGAAATGTTCAGTATTGTTACCCATATTTTTCTGTGCAGTAGTCATGCCCAGTGTTTCAAAGCAAAAGAAAAGAGGTATAGGAGGTATCTTGGGAAGTGTTTTCCTCCGTGAAAGTGGCATGATTACATGTACAAATCTGTATAAATGTTTTATTTATTGTAAATATATTTAATTTAAAGTTGGCTCTTATCAGATTTGTTGTTTAGATGCATTTATTAAAAGGGAAATGAAGTGCCTTTTTAAAATTGGTTCTGGCCTTTTTGGAGGATAATAAATGTGTGGAATTCATGTTAAAATCCTAGCTGCCTGGTGTTATTGTTCGTAACTCTCTCACAGTAGCTTTTAATGAATATTTAACAATTCTTACAGACTCAAAACGGTTACAGATTTAATAGTCACAAATGCTCGCTCGTTTGAGTCTTGTTTTCCTGATTTTCCTGCCATTCTTCTCCGGGGATTCTCCATTTTTTTTTACAGAGGGTCTCCCTGCCAAATGTGTTGTCTTTCAAGTGCATGCTACTCATCCCAGAGGCGTCCCCAACAATAATCCTCAAAGAGAATTACTGATGAATAGAGTGGCAAACCGTGGCAAGTATTAATGTTTGCTTCACCGTCTTCAGAAATGCAGGAGCGGGAGGAATATATTTAATTAATGGCTGTTCTAATCCTTCCATAAAATCATTGGTGTTGCCCTCTTGCTGCTCTATTTGATCCCTGCGCAAACACTCAGCACTTTGATCTTAGAGGACCAATCTCAGATGGATTTCAGACGTATTGCATGGTCTCACTGGCAGATTTAGGTTAAGCACAGGCGCTTAGAATTGTGGTTGTTCATTGAGTAGATGGATTTTCTTACTTAATAATTAAGTTTATATGTGGTTTGTGGCTTTGGAAGCTGTGTTTCTGGTATAAATGAAGGGAATTGTACTATGGAAAATATCCATATTGTCCCATGTGTAGATGTTTGGAGTTTGATAAACTGCAAGGCCTTTATTTTGGCTAAGAAAACAATGCAACCATCAGGTATGAATAATCAATGACTTACTCAGAGAAAAAGTGTGCATAACATTATTTTCCTTAATAAACTCCCTATGTTTAGCCTTGCAACTAACATTTCAGTAATAAAAGTCCAGTTCATAATGCACAAGAGCCACTGTGTTCTCACATGGTCCATAAAAAGTAAAAATAATAAATAGCTGTTACATTACGGGGACTTTAACAATTTAAGTGCCAAGGTAAATTACCGCCACACACAGCAAGTCGTTTCACAGAAAAACACGGTGGAAATTACAATGTTTGACAGCAGCGGGATTGATTATTCTGTCTGTGTAATTGTGTGCTGTGTCACCAGCAGCAGCACATGGGAGTGATAGCATGGAAAAAATGTGATGACCAGGAGCTTATTTTCATTACATTTAGTGGAACCTGAGCGGTGTGAAGCAGGCGTGTGCTGGCTGACATCTCCAGAGGTTAAAAGTTGTTTTGTTTTCATTTTTCCACCATTTGCAATCCAGCAGAATATACTACAGCACACGTTAGTATTCAAGACATGGGTCTAAATCAAAGCTGTATTATGTCTCTGTAGTAGATTAACCACACTTCAACTCTGTGCAATGCCTGAGTTAACCTTAATTACTTATTCCTTCCTTCTGCAAACCAAGATGTGGGTTGACTACCAACATCATCCCCTTTTTTGTTTTCATTACTTAGCCATTGTAGACGTTGGCTATGGCTTGGCAGGCGAGCGTTGCAATCCTGGACCCTGACACCGCGTGGATCACATTTAACTATGAAAAAAAAGAGGCTGTTTTGCTTGGAGCGCTCCCCCAGCCAGAATCTCGGCTGGTGGTGTTTCAGACACATGTTCCAGTTCATGGGCGCCTGAAGGGGGGCGCGTGCTCTCTTCCCAGTTTACACTCCAGTGACATGACCTAGAGAGGCCAAACACTTGTTGTGTGAGACACAAACCAGCCTGTCCCACCTGCGCTGAGCTGCACTGATTAGATAGGAAGGAGGTGGCAGCAGAGGGTTAAGGACACTGGGGTAGAACAGAGGGCAAATTTGTGTTCTTCAGCTTTGTTTAAACCTCTTTTTCCTTTTCAGCATTTTCTTGCCCTTTCTGCCCTTCCTCTTTTCCCTATGTGTTTGCTGAATGAGTAAGACAGGTTTTATAAAAATCCCAAAAGTAAACCGAAATGACTTTTATAGCAGCACAGGGTGTCTTTTTGCTCTGTTTCTTTTTCCACAAATATGAATTCTATCACTACATTTCCAGGTCACTGACAGCTATTTTTAGCCCCTCTCTTTCGCAGAGGAAAGGAATCACAGAGGAGCACAGTGCTTCAGATAGAGTCAAGGAATAAAGCTTCATTCCAAAAACAGAGTTTGTTTGAGCTGTGGCTGCTTTGGCGCCAGAGATGTGGCTGCCGGGAACACCTTTACGCACACACACACACACACACCTGAGGTCTGCAGTGCTTGAGCAGCAGCAACCAATCAACACCAAGCTTGTTGTGTTGATTCAGTCCAACTTCAGGAGTAAGTAAGCTCTGTCTCGCTTATAAGATTTAGTTTGGCTGAGTCTCCGCGCTGTTTTTCTTCTCATCTGGCTCAGAAGGTTAAATAGTGTCAGTCGCACTGAGCAGCAAGTTTGTCTGGGCCAAGATTGAGACTACTCCCAGAAAAGCCAACACTTTTCCTCATAGGTTTCTCAGGAATATTTCATTGTGTTGACTGTGAGCTTAACAGAATGTTTATTTGTTCTAGAGCAACACAGAACAGGTCCATTTGTAGGGATTTGTACATTTATTTTCTGTAAAGGGGCGTAAAAACACCTTTCCCGCTTTAGCTGCTGACGCCATGTTTTTGTCTGCCGAGGAGAAATCCCTCCATCTGGTCACGGATCTGATTAAAGGCGATCATTATGGCATCAATGTGCCTCCCTCATAGACTTAAACCCCTACCCACCCCTGAGGGGGGAAAAAGAGAAAATAAAGCATCCTTCATTACCCTGCCCTCCCTCCTTCTGCAGTCCCTCACCCCCCTTGAGCACTATCCCTTTCCTGTGCTGTTTTGATGTGTAAATGAGCGTATTGAAAACCTGCAGGCCCCCAAAGAGATGCTTTCCATGAAAATGCGGTAGAGAGTTCACACAGCTCACCACTCCTCGCAACCGGACTCCGATCAGACACACAGTACGCCACTGCTGTCTCGCCTGTTAGAGCAAGACACAAACGTAAAATCACACACACAATTGCACATGCTGACTCATATCATCATGCAGAGATAAACATTTACACTGTGACCTTTGAGAATAATCCACTCAAGAGGTAAAAATGCACAAAGGCGAGGATTTGGCTTTGCAGAGACTTTTTTTGTTGAAATGAAGATACAGTGTCAAGTTGTTGAAGAGTTAAAGCAGCTGAGATTTTTCTGCAGCATCTATCATGTCAGTGAAATAAAAGCACGGCGTCTGAGAGTAAGACTGCTTCAGAGTACAGAGGATTCTCTGTGTTGTTCAGTGTCTTGGAATTTTAGAAACACTGCAGGAAGAAATACTCAAAGGTTTGTATTCTATTTAAAATAACATGTTATCTAATCAACAGCAACACATGAGGAGTTTATACACAATTAGATTAATCAAAAATCCCTTTCATCTTCACTTTCAATTTTGTCTTGGATTGTGTTTTCAGGGTTTATTTATTCTGCTTGGATTGAGATGAATCTAACTGTCTGGTATTTCCTAAAAAAATGGTCACTATCTTAAAACATGACTGGCAAATACGACATTTTGCTTCAGCAGTAAAAGGTGAAGTCATTTCCCCAAAATAGCTTTTTTGTCATTTCCATAACAGACATGCATTTCAGTTAGCATAGATCAATGTGGATTTGGTCCAAGTTGCACTTTATCTGACCTGAAGAACGAAACTCATTAGTCTTCATTTTTCAAAGTTCATCTGTTCATCTCAATATAAAAGACATAAATACTGCTGGAATAAATGTGGACACAAACAAGAGTAAACACCGGGCAGATAATATTAAGAATATGGCGTAAGAGGAGAAAGAGCAGAAAGTTTCAAGCACAATGTTTTCAGCTTTTTGCTGTATCTTTTTTTCCCCGCGTTTTTTCATGTCCTTTGATCAATAGACAGAAAACAGAGAAGTAAAGCTTTCTCATCCCTCTGTACCTTCCTGTGCTGCGTCTGCCTGTGGCTGAAGGAGAGATGAATCAGTGAACAGAGGGAGGTTCTGCCGCTCGCTCTCTGAAGCCAACAAGCATTGCTGTGATCACTGTTAATCTCCTTTGCCACTCTGCTGCCATCTCCTCAAAATACATTCATCTCATTTCCAATAGTGTGCACGGCCCCTTCTTCCTTTCTAATTAGGGACCGTCAAGATTTCAGAAGTCACCCTTTGGTGCTCTGCAGCGGCGAGATTGCTCTTTGAGCTAGCGGGTCAGAGATGGCAAGTATTTGTTTGAGGGTTAAATCACAGCGGGCCTTTCATCATGTTGTTATGTTGCACGATCAGAGGCTTGGGATTATGTAGGTCAGACGTTGGAGAGTGAGAGCACCCCTTTTGTAGCTGCCATTTTTATTCAGTTGCTAGGCAGCAGCCGCTCTAATCTCTTGTACCAAAGAGTCTCTCCCTGGAGAAAAAGAGAGGGAGCAGGAGTCACAAAGGATGGGAACACATTTTGAAAACAGCGTCAACAAAGAACACAAACCCATGCAAGGACCGCTTTTAGAAACACTCTATAGAGTAGGAGTGGAAAGGGACAGGATGTGGGAGTCTAAGCTCGGCCCTGAAACCTGCTCTGGCCCTCCTGAACATCTTTAAACCCCTGTGGTTTTGTTTGTGCCATTGAATGAATATCTAAAGGGGTGATCAACCAATCACACAGCTCCAACTGCAGGTTAGATTACACACCCATGCACCCCTTTGCATCTTTAACTCAAGAATAGAGATTTTGTATTAACCCTTCTCTTGCGTTTCGGGTCAAAAGTGACCGAATGAGTTTTATTTTAATCATAAATATTGTGTTTTTCATCCAATTGCCTCAATACCTTATGTTATCCTCCACACTAGGCCTCTGAACATATACACTTGATGATCACCACTTGCATTGAATGTTGAGTGATTTATTCAACAGTGAAACACCCTTGATGTTTTCGGTCAGATTTGACCACCATAGAAAATGAATGGGTTTGAGTGTATTATGTTCATCCTACAGATGGAAAACATCTATACACACACACACACACACACACACACACACACACACACTACGGGAACC